TCGCATGACGTAGATACTCCTTTCTAAAACAGAAATAGGTTCTACCACCCTCCCCCCTCGGACTTGAAGACATCCCTTTCTCGTATTGCAAGTTGCACATGATTCTGCACCGATCGTCCATCCTAACTGTGAACTCATAAGATCCCAGCCAAACCGGTATCGACCCCCGCTCGGTTCCTTTGCAACAAATGCTATGCGCGCGCACTCGTTTATCACAAATCATGAGTTTTCAAAAATCCCTTGCACAAAAATAGACGAAGTGCGCACGCGCGCGCCGTCGCGCGCATGCCGAAATCGTTCAAAAGCCCTCGGTTTCGGAAGCATTTCAAAATCGAGTGCATAACAAAACATGCAAAAAACAAAGTTTCGCAACACTGATATTCTAAAAAAGCTTACTCGCGCGCCCCTGCGAAATCTGAATAATTCCATTGGTTTTTCAAGATCTACCAAAAGGGCTTCGCTCGCGCGCATGTCGAAATCGTTCGAACCTTCTTGCGCGCGTGCCGTCGCGAAAGTCCTATGCAAACAATTGGACGAAGTGCACGCGCGCGCGTCGTCGCGCGCGCATGCCGAAATCCTTCAAAAACCTTCGGTTTCGGACGGATTTCAAAATCGAGTGTACAAAAACATACAAAAACATAGGGTTTCGCAACACTGATTTTCTCCTCAAGCGTGCGCGGGCGCTCTTGCGCCGCTGTCGTCGTCGTCGCCGTCCTCCCTCCTCCCTCGTCGTCGCCGTCGTCGTCGCCGTCGTCATCCTCTGTCTCTCCTCGCCGTCGTCGTCCTCTTTGGCGTCGTCGTCGTTTCCGTCGTCGTTGTCGCCGTGGTCGTCCTGCATCCTCCCTCGTCTTCGTCGTCGGCGTCCCTCGTTGGCGTCTCGTCGTCGTCCCTCCTGTTTCGTCGCCGTTGTCGTTGTCGTCGTAGATGTCTTCCCTCCTCCCTCGTCGTTGTCGTCGTCGGCGTCGCCGTCCACTCTCCTTCTGCGTCGTTGTTCGCGTCGTCGCCGTCCTCCCTCCTCCCTAGTCGTTGTCGTCATTGTCGCCGTCGTCGTCCTCCCTCCTCCATCGTCGTCGTCGTCTTCGTTGCCGACGTCATCGTCGTCGTCTTCGTCCTCGTCGTCGTCGGCGGCGTCGTCGTCGGCGTCGTCGGCGTCGTCGTCGGCGTTGTCGTCGTCGTCGTCGGCGTCGGCGTCGTCGTCGTCGGCGTCGGCGTCGTCGTCGTCGTCGTCGGTGTCGTCGTTGTCGGCGTCGTCGTCGTAGTCGTCGTCGTCGAAGTCGTCGGAGTCGCCGTCGGTGTCGTCGTAGTCGTCGTCGGCGTCGTCGTCGTTGTCGCTGTCGCTGTCGTCGTCGGCGTCGGCGCCGTTGCCAAGTGCCATTTGGCACCTACCGCCACGGTCTCAAGAGGTCTTACGACCAAGTTGCGGGTGGGCGGGTGGGATGTTTGCAAGAGCAGTGGAGAGGACAAGTTCAAGACAGACAAAGTGAATTGCACAACACAGGTCGCACAAGGATGCTCCACCACAGTGATCGCAACATATATGTAGATATATAGATACATATATCTCTATATATGTATGTTGCATCACCTAGAGCGCACATCCGATCTTGCATAACATGGGCCGCACAACAGACTCGCACCACAGAGACCGCACCACATAGCTTGGACCACACAGATTCCACTGCGCACATTGCACCGCGCAGAGGGCACCACAGATGCTGGCCCGCATATGGTTTGCACAACGCGCCCTGCCAGAACCACACTCTCTTCGGGGCCCACGCTGGCCAACCTATGGATATGCGTCTTCCTGTCCCTGCTCCCTCTCCTTGTCTGGGCAGTCGAAGGCCAGACTGTCAGATTGGATTGGGCCCCACGGGCCAGTCTGGCCTGGCCAAAATGGATGATGTGGGTTCTTCGCCAGACTGGATTCGCGCTGGCTCCCTCGCCAGATTGCCCCCGTTTGCCAGACTGGGCCTGCCAGATTGGCGCCAGATTGGCTTCGACTACCCAGCACTTGCCTCTGCCCCCATCCCCCCCGCAATCCGTCCCCCGGACCTCCCGTCCAGCCCGCTTCCCGCAAGTCGTAAGTCGGGCGTGTCCCTCTACAGGAGGGATACTCCAAAATAGTCCGCAAATGGTCTGGGGACGAGTGTTTTGATTATGTTTGAGCATGTTTGGAATGTGTTTGAATATCTTTAACTTTTCGCCCAGAATCCACCTGTACAGGGGACATGCCCGACCCGACGCAAGTCTGCTGTGCCGAGACCGCGCAGGGCACCAGCAGCTCCCGCCGCAGGCATCTCCACTCCTGGAGGGCGGCCGCAGGGCGAGGAAGAGGGCGGGGGCAACGAAAGAGGGGAAGGCCGAGGTGGGCGCAGGGAGGGCCAAGTGCGGGCAAGATATATGTCCATGTCCAGTGCGCCTTCTGTTTTTTTGGAAGGGGCGCCACAAGGCCGAGGTGCACTGGACATGGATGAAAATCGTGCCTCCATGGGGGGACATTCATCCATATCCAGTGCGCCTCGGGCTTCTGGGGAAGGGGGCCCGAAACTCCATACTGCAGTGGATATGGACAAAAGTACTGCTCGCACCAAGGGAGCGCAAGCATGGATTCGGGCGCGTGGGTTAGCGACGGGTCCCCGCTTCCCCGCGAATGCGGCGCGCCCCGCCGCCAACTCGGGCGGCACTGGCGCCATGTGTCACAGGGGGTGTGTTTTTCCCGATCCGTGGATCTGGCGCCCGCGCGCCGGATCCACGGATCCGTAGTCCGAGTCAGTGCGTGCCCGTGTTCATGGTGTCTGTCCTCCTTGGGAGGGAGGTGCATTTGAAAGCGTCACCGACTCGGTTTGTGAAGACGCGCCTTCGCCCCTCATTCACCCCGCACCCGTCCCCCGGAAACCCCTGGAGGTGACTGAGCACCTCCTAGGCTCAGGCCCCCAGGGCTTGAAACATATGGGATTTGTCGTGAGGGCGTTCGGACCACGCGACCAAGCACCTCCAGAGTTTTCTTGCACCGCAGTAGTACTGGAAACCCACGTTGTTTTGACAAAAAATTGACGCCTGCGGCGAGCTCGTAGTGCAATCTTCCCCAAAACAAGTCGGCGCCTGCGGCGGGCTTCTCCAGAGCCTCGCAGACTGCCGACGACCTCGCCGCCCACTCACTTCTGTGATCCGCAATTGCGGAGTGCCACGTATTGGAAACCTCCGTGAGGACCACAGCAGGTGACCCCCTCCCCCTGCCCCCCCCCCTGAGACCACGGGCGGGCGCCATCCTTCTGGAGGGTCCCTGCCTCCGCCCCCTCAAGAGAAGGCGCGGCCCCTCCCCGAGCGCCTCCCGCGGTTCGGGCTGCAGGAAAGGGGGCGTTCCTTCAACCCCTCCTCCTCCTCCTCCTCCTCCTTCTCTCCTCCTCCTCCTCCCCCCTCCTCCTCCTCCTCCTCCACCTCCTCCTCCTCCTCCTCCTCCTCCTCCCCCTCCTCCTCCTCCTCCTCCTCCTCCTCCTCCTCCTCCTCCTCCTCCTCCTCCTCCTCCTCCCTCTCCTCCTCCTCCTCCTCCTCTTCCTCCTCCTCCTCCTCCCTCTCCTCCTCTGCTTCGTCCTCCTCATGCTCATTCTCTTGGTCCTCCTCTTCCTGATCCTCCTCCTCCTCCTCCTGGCTCCTGCTCCTCCTCCTCCTCCTTCATGCTGCGCGACTGCGCCGACGCGGTGGCGGGCGGGGGAGGGTTACAGGAAAGGGTGGCGAAAGGGGTCCTCTTCGGGCACCGAAGGTTGACGACAGGTCTACCTTTCTTTGCCCCCCCCCCCGCTAACACGCCGGTCCTTGAAAGTCGGATGCTCCTGGATTTTCAGATCCCAATCTACTTCAAGCGCCTTCCTTTTCCAAGAATCGATATGCTTGTGCTGTGTGTTGTCATTCCGGGAGGGCCCGAGCCCAATCTATTTTACCCGCCTTCAAACTTCATGTTTTCACCGACCTCTTCCGACCGACGGGTGCCGCCCCCCAATCCAGTCAGGCCCAGCGGATCGAATCAGCTTGACAAGTCTGAATGGCGATGCTTCTCCCCCAATCCCCGAGCTCCGCCCGACAAGTTCTCGCTCAGAAAGACATCGGCGCCACCCCAACATACTTATACTATATGTGCGTCACCCACCAGGGGCGACGCACGCACCGAGAAATCTTATATTATATGCGTCGTGGCGGGCGCTGTCTGGCCACACCGCTCGGGAAATGATGTGTTACAAGATGGGTGTACTATGTGTTCGGGTTGGACGCGCGCCTCCAAGGAGGACATATAGTATTAGTACGTCCCCGTGCGTCCCAACAAAAGAGGGAAGCCCTGGGATGCACCCCCAGGGGGGGCTGCTCGGACGCGCCCCCCCTCGAGCATGGACGCCCCCCCCATCGTATACGTATCCCAGGGTCAGGCCCACCGTTGCCAGTTCGTTCTCGGAAACCCCACGACGCTTGGGATAGGTGTCGACATGTCCCCTGCCACTATCGCTACGTCGGGCCTGTCCCTCTGCGGGGGGAATATCCAAAGATAGTCCAGACACGATCTGGGGACGACGTTCTGAACATGTTTGTTTCTGTTATAATGTTTGTTTACCCCTCTTATATGTTTCCGCCCAAGTCCGCCTGTAGGGATACACGCCCCACCTAACACTATCGCCCCCCATTCAGCAGCGCCCGACGGATCGAATCAGGTTGACGCGGCGGGCGTCTCTTGCGGTCTCGCTTTCTGTTCGGGGCGTCCTTGCTGTTGTCGCGACGTCGCGCAACCAGCAGGCACACCAAACGAGAGGGCACCCTGCCAGGGAGTGCCCCACGGACGTGTGCTGCCCCCCGAGGGCCACCACGGGGAGCCACAGACGCGCTGGGGCCGCCTGAGAGTGCCACAGAGGGACACCGAACGCGCCCGAGTAGCTCCTGCAGAAAGATCTCTCCCCGCAAGCTCCTGCTGCATCTGTGGGCCCCGTCCCTCCGAGCGGGACGCGAGCCGTCCTCCGAGGCCGTTCTTGGGCCGAGGTCGGCAGAGGGCGCCGCCGCGCCACCCGCCCGGTTCCCGCGGTGCTCCAGCGGAGCCCCATATGTCGACCGTGGAGGAGCGCCTGGCCAGCCTCGAGGCGCAGGTGGCGGCGCTGTCCGCCACGGCAGGCCCGTGGGTCCCCTCCCGCCACCACCGGCCATGCACCCTGGGGCGGCTGGCCGGCGGCGGTGCCCTGCTGGGCGCGGCCGCCTCGGCGCAGAGCAGCGCACTGCCGTGGGCCAGTCGCCCCCCGCCGACGGCCGGAGCGCTGGAGTGAGGACCAGTGCGGGCTCAGGAGGGGCTCTGCTCGGGGGGTCGCTCCGCAGGTCCAGGCCGGGGAGCCTGCTCGAGAGGAGGGGGCGCGCCTTGGCCAGGCCAGGAACAAAAAGCCCTTCGTTCCTGGATCGGCGTGCCCCCGATGGCAGCACGAGAGCTGCACCGTGGCAGCAGTGAAAGGCAGGCCCCTCTACAAGTGATCGTTTCCTTGTTCCATGCTTTGCCGATCGGCGCGGGCCCTCGCCCCCCCCTCCTCCCCCGCCCCCCCGTGGAGTATATCTTGGCCGTTTTGGTCGCCTGTTTCGGGCAGGTCGGGTCTCCACCATGGGACGCGCCGGTGCCAACAGTCGCATGTAGCAGCAGAGGTCCGGAGCCAGACCCGCCCCCCTCCCCCCCCCCAGAAGCCAGGCGAAGGCTGGCAAACCCGTGGCTGCTAAAACGGAGCTCCAGGAAATTGTTTCCGTCTTCCGGGAAGCAGCCCGTTTACTATTTAAAGCGCCGAGTTTTATTCCTGGAATTTGCTTTTTGCTATCCAGGAAGACCGTTTTTGCAGCCACGGATTTGCCAGCCCTCGCCCAACTTCCGACCCTCCCCGCCCTTCCGCCCAGTGCCGAAGCGCCGACCAAAAAAACGCTCACCAGGCGGCGGGGATGGCGCCGGCAAGAGGCAGGGCCCCTCGGGCAGCGGCGATGCCCAGATCCTGAAGAAGGTGTCGACGAGGCTGCAGGACTTCGAGGCCCAGCTCACGGCCCAGCTCGGCAACATGCAGAGCGACTTCGACAAGAAGCTCTCGCACGTGAGCCGGGGCGCGGCCTCCATGAAGCCGCTGGACGGCGCCGGGGCGTCGGCGGGACTCGACACCATGGCGGAGGACCTCGACCAGCTCAAGTTTGACGTTGGTGAGCTCAAGGACCTCCTGAGCAACAACAAAGGTGTCAGAGATGCCATCGACATACACACATACACATCTACATAGACATGGACATGCATATCGATAACGCTACGCGTCCTTCGTCGTCACAGTTGGGTTCGCCTCGAGATCCTGCTCAGAATGCACCCCTGGAAATGGTCTGGTGAAAGTAGCGGTGCCGGTATCATTTTGTTTCCCGCAGGTGAGGTCAACCACGTGCGCCGCATCGTCCTCGCGTGCGAGCGCGACATGGAGGACTTCACCGCTGCCATGGACGCGGTCAACGTCGACCTCGACGAGATGCGCGCGCGCGTCGACGCGACACACTCCATCATCACAAGCCGTCAACGCGTGGAGGCCACGATGACCGCTGAGATCTCCACCATGAGGCTCGACATCGGCGACATCCAGGAGGCCCTGAAGAACCACGACTCGTGGATGGAGGATGTCTCCAACACCTTGCAGCAGATGCAGGAGAAGGAGGAGAACCTGACAGAGGACATCATCAACTTGAAGAACGAGATGAACACCAAGCTGGACACCAAGGTCGACAACGTGGCCTGGAAGGAGGCAAACGACGACCTGGACGCGGCCGTGAAAACAGTGAGGGACATGGTCTCGTCCCTGCGGCTGGACGTGGATGCGCGCCGTCGGAAGGTGGACGAGATCTTGGCAACCATCAGGCACGACATCACGGCCGTCGAGACCAACCTGGAGGAATCCAAGGCGAAGATCACGAGCGACACGGACCAGGCCGTGAACGCGCTGAACGGCCGGATCGACTTCACGAACAAGGACTTAGCGGCCACGCAGGAGAGCCTGCACACCACCCAGAACTCGCTAAGCGACTGCTTCAACGAGGTGGCCGTGGTCCGGAGCGACCTTGAGCGCAACGTGGCCGACACCGAGGCCCGCCTCAAGAACGACGTGCGCCAGAAGCAGCAGGAGGCCTTCGAGAAGGTCGCGGCGGTGGAGCAGCAGGCCGAGCTCCGGAGCGCGGAGGCCTCGCGGCGCCTGGGCGCGCTGGACCTGCGCATGAGCGGCGTGCAGGGTGGCCTCGGCGAGCACAAGCGCGACATCCTGAAGCTGCGCGAGGAGGTGAACGGGCTCACCGTCAAGAGCGCGTCGCACGAGGTGGACATCCAGAGGAACAGCGACGCCATGCGCAAGATGGAGAAGCAGCGCAACATGGACGAGCAGAACTGGAAGGCGCAGATGGACGCGGTACACGACGTCCTCGACACCAAGGTGAACGAGAAGCCGTTCGAGGACTTGAAGCACTGCACCGCCTCCC